TGAGAGTTCTACTCTGCAGAACTTGTAGTTTACGCATAATATGTGACTTAGCTAAAAAGTACCAAGCCGCACATGCGTAGGTTATTGCAGGTCTGATGTTGGTTTTGTATATCCGAATCTTATTGACCAAACTCAATTTTGATGTTCTACATAAAAGAGGATACAATTGCCGAATTGTAATTTGAAATTTAATTTTCAGTTGTTCAATGTGTGACAGCCAAGTCATACCATTGTCGGGTGTAAGACCTAAATATTTGGCTTTGTTAGCCCATGGTAACTTGTGTAGTTTTAATAGCCAAAAAGGGAAACCATTTTGAATAAGTTTATAGAGGAGAAGTGCGTTCCACACCTTGTGAAAGGCTTTCGTGACATCTAGAAAAAGGATTCCCGTGCTCTTGTCGTGGATTAATCCGCTGGTTATAAGCTCCACGAGCCTTCAGATCATTTATATGACCTTAAGCTCTGCTGGTGTGCAATACAGAATCACTGATGAAGACTCTGACGGTGTTCTATGCAGAGCTTCTGTTGAAGAATCTTCCGAAGAGGAATCTTCCGAACAGGATCCACCAGCTCTAGCAGTGCTGCCGCTGGCGTCATAAACAGCAAAATACCTCCTAACAGATCTTACAATGTCTCGTTCCTCGTCGAGATCGTTATCGAGATCATAATTTGGCGAGAACTGTTTTTCCATGACATCAGCAAAAACTCTCGCTTTATCCTCAGTCCTGAAGACTACGCCTTCAGGGCCTTGGATATGCGGAAGTTGTTCCCGTTCGCCATTTTTGAAGGACTTTGCTACTTTCCAAAGAGAAGTAGCGTTGCCAAGCATTCCTCCAAGAAAGTTGTTCCATTGCTCGTTTCGGAATTCGTGAAGTACGTTTCTTACTTCGTGAACAAGATTCGTAGCTCTACGGATGTCATCAGGATGGCAAGGCCTTTTTGCCTGCTTGATTGCAGCTCTTTTGTCAGCAATTTTCTGATGTATGTCCACAGGGACCAAAGGTCTGCCAGGCCGCTGCACAGGAAGTACTGCCGACCTCTGTAGTGTTTGTTGGACAGATCTTGTCCGCTCTGCTTGAGCGGCATCTATATCATTTTCGTCAACTATAATCGGGATATCAGGAAACTCGGCCAAGAGCGATTTGTACAGTTCCGAATCGACGCGTTTCCTAGAGCAGGCTTCCCTGTCCAAGGTATCCTCAGTGCCCACCTCAAGAATAACGGGAAAGTGATCGCTTGAGACGTCATACATAACTCTAGAAGAAACACGGAAACCGCAGTTTCTGGATATCGCAAAGTCTATAACATCTGGTACCTGCAGATAGTTAAAGAGGTGATGTGTCGGCTCATCAGTGCTGTGAATGACGCATCCATTTCGCATTACATAGTTATGCAGGCGAACACCGCAAGCAGTGTTGAGCCTGGAATGCCATGCACGGTGCTTGCAGTTGAAATCAGCTGCCACAATCAGAGGACCCGACCAATCCAAGTCCGCTTCTTGAAGCCGAGGACCGCACCTCACATACACCGTTGTGATTTTCAATGGGATGCCTCCCATCATATTGACCACCACAGAGGCAGCTTCAATGCTTTGCATTTAAGCATTGGTGCCTCTGTCATAATCAATACCATACTTAACAAGCACGGCCAAGCCGCCACCTCTACCATTCAACCTGTCAGCACGAAAAACATCATAATTCGAAGACGAAGCGATCTCCGGGCTTTAAAAAAGTTTCCTGCAGCAATACCACATCTATTGACTCGTCGAAAAGGGCCTGCTGAAATTCTCATTTCTTACCGACGCGACGTCTCTCAACCCACAACAGTTCCAGAACATAATTTTGAGAAAAGCAGGCTGTCTATTATAGTTAGCCATATATAGGCTGCGGAAAGATCGCTTGCCGCGCCTGTGTTGCGCTTATCAGAGGAGTAATAATTTGTTGGAGTGACTTGAGCGCGGTCGCCAGGTCTACTTGTTGAGAGTCCAAAGCAGGAGCTGCGGCTGAACTGACAGCAGCTGAAGGCCTGGCTGTGATTTCGGCATAAGAGTTTTTGCGCGTTTCGGCTATAACCTGTATGTTCCTCTTAGGGGTGAACCTGCACTTTGGACTGTTGGCAGGGTACCCGTCCCCACAGTTTGCGCATTTACGTACCTCCTGTCTTGTTTGGGGGCACAATTATGTTAAGTGGTTCTGTGCACATTTCACACATTTGGGTGGCGCAGTACAGTAAGACTGGGCATGCCCATACCTCTGGCAGCGGTGATACTGGCCAATGAGTTTATTATTCTTTTGAACCTCAACCTTAATTGAGCGGCCAAATAGTTCTTTTTCATTGAATAATTCATGTGATTTTTCGATTTTAGGCAGTATCACCACTACCAACAGCATAGGAGCGCCTCCACTACGTTTTAATCTGATCAGATGGAGAGGGGTATATCCTTTCTGGTCCAGCTCCTGCTTTATCTCTTCCTCGTTGAATGACGTGGGGATACCGCGTAGGACAGCATGTATGTTTCTTTCCGATCGCAGAGGAAAGGTATGATGGGCAATATTTTTCTCTTTGAAATGCCGAATTATCTTTCTGTAATCGTCCTCGGTTTTGGGGACGATTCTAATGCCCGCGTCACTTTTCTGGCTCCTTCAGCACGACCGGGGTGATGCGCCTCGGTTGAAGCTGCTGCGCCGCTGTGCTGGCAGAACCAGAGGGTACAGCGGTAGTATAGGTCTGTACGTCTTTTAAGTTTTGCATATGGAAATAAAACAACACGGTAGGTAGTTTTAAATGACTTTATTGTTTTTCGAAGTATTTTCCACGAAGATTAATACACATCTGCATGCGCTCGAACCAATTTTCGAAGCACTTATTCCACTCGTTTGCTGGAAGATCCAAAACGGCATTTTTGAATTCGTCAACTGCTTCTTCTGGTGACTGGAACCTTTGACCACGCAGTCTGTATTTAATTTTCGGGAAAGTAAAGAAATCGTTTGGACATAGGATATATGGAGGATGGTCCAATAATTAGACGTTTTCTTCGTTAAATACTGCCTTGTTTTTTGGGCTGTGTGCGAGCTTGCATTGTCTTGGTCGAGGATGATTCTTCTTTCGGGGTTGATTTTTCGAAGCTCGGTGATGACTTTTGGCAAACAAATGGTAGTATACCAATCCGCAGTAACAGTTCTGTGCTCATTAAGAGGAATTGTTGCAATATGACCCGCTTTTGACACAAATCTTTTTCGAAACACTTGGAGAACGGATTACTTTTTTTGGCTTTTCTTTACCTTGGAACACCCAAACAGCCGACTGTCGTTTATTTTCTGGTTCATAACAATAAATCCACGATTCATCACCACTAACAATGCTGTACACATTTTTTGAGTTTCCGGAATTGAAACGGTCAAGCGTTTTTTGACACCAATTAATCCTGGCTGCTTTCTGCTCTTCAGTCAACAGCCAACGAGAAATTAATATTCTTACTCCTAATTCTTCATGTAAATTTTTTTGAATTGAGGTCTTTGAGATCTTCAAGGACGCCTCAATCTCGCGATATATCACATGTCTATCTTCAATGATGAGTTTGCGCACAGCATCGACGTTTTCCTGGGTGACTGCCGTTTTTGGTGCACCCACCCTGGGATCGTCGCTAAGACTCACCCGTCCACGTTTGAATTCTCCATACCAACGGGAAATTGTCGACTGATGTTGCGCTTCGTTGCCGAAAACAGACAGTAACTCAGCAAGGCATTCTTGTTGCGATAATTGTCTCTGAAAGTTGTAATAAATTATGGCGCGAAAATGTTCTCGGTTGAGTTCCATTTTTCTAATGACTTGGTGACACTTAAAAATTCACTGTAGTGAGAACACTGCACGTATTGTTGTGAATCTTTGAATTTAAGTTTACTAAAGAGTGAGGTTAAGATTCAGTACTGACGTTCGATCCGCGCGGCCTACTATGTTTCCATATGCAAAACTTAAAAGACATCAACATCAACAATATTCTCTGGCAAGAAACAACGTTCAACAATGCATATATCATCTTCGTAATTTTAATGTGACACGGACAATGAATATGCCTTTCACGCCACCAACTAGAGACTTTCTTATAAATTATGGGGCGTAGGTTCGATTCCCGATTGTATCTAAAACATGCCATTGCGCTTTGAGTCACTTTGAGTCCTATGTTCTAGGTAAGCCAACCTCACTATAACTACTATAACATCCAATCTCACGGACGGCAACCAATGCCCCAATGCGTATAGATACGCAACCAAATTTTCGAGAGGAACAGGAATCAAAGTGAATCAGACTCGAAAGGAATCGGAATCGTGAACGAATCGAATCGAAGTAATCAATTCCGAATTGAATCACCAAAAGGAACAGTTTCGCCCAGCTGTAACGGATAGGCGAGTATATTACTTGACTTCTCCCATAGCTCTACAAATTTATAAATCTACCAGTACAAATGTTTGATAATTGCAAAATAGATGGCGCGCAGCTCAAGGCTTTATTGAAGAACTTGACGTTGTAGAAAAACCGACGATATGTCACTGTTTAGGATACGTAATACACGCGCCGATTTTTACAATCTACAATACTAAACTGTGAAGAAAAGACGTGGAAATGTATATTATTCAAAAATTTAAATAATTTTTACAGTAATTTCCAAAATAGTTTAGACTAACCATATGCAACTATTATTACGTAGTGGTCTACAGCCGTTCCCTTATCATTTTTTGAACTTGACCTTATCGTCTTCGTCCCTAGATGGCAGGACCAATACGTTTTTAACATCTGTTTTTCAAAATTATTGCAACTGTTAAGTAACAATTGTATTTTTTCTTGTTTTCAACCTTTACAATAAACTTTATGTGAAAGGTACACACAAAATGTGACCCCAAAACAAACAAAACAAAATCATTATTCTTTTCGAGCCTATTATCTTCAAATTGGAAACAAAAGATGACATTTCACCACCACGCGCACTGCGCGGTGATATTGACACATCTGTTGGTGTTTTTGTTGTTTTTTCAAACAAGACTGCATACTCAACCTCAGGCAAAATTACAAAATAATCAGCTGTTTCTTTGTGAGTTTGCTTAGGTTTTAAACTGAGGAGCAGGTGTTAATGGGGCTTACAGCCATGTACCATCTACCATGGGAACAATTGCGTCCGTGTTACAATGGCATTGCACTTTTTGCAGCCTGATCAACCCCACAGAAAGGCAGAAATGCATTAGATGTGGCAGGGCTAGGGTGCAGGCGCCCCCCAAAAAATTGTCGCCCACTTTCAGCACCCTAGAAAACAGGAACTGTACAGTTATCAAGAAGCTCAAGTCAGATTTTAGGAGGTATTTATTTAACAAGAGGCTACTTACTAGCATGATTCCATAAGAGTTATTATCACGTATTGAAATATAATTATTCTTCTGATAACAATATTAAGAGCTCTAGCTAATTCTGATAACTTGATTGAAACAGATGTAGGTATTATAGATTAATTTCCCATCAACTTTTATATCAAAATACAGTTCAAAATTGTTCACTGTTTTCTCTGCTAGCAAATGAATGTAAACAAGCCTATGAGATATGCTATTTTCTCTTGTCATTTTTTTTTGTAGTTTGATTCAATAAATCACATTAGAGTAGCTATTGCCAATCTGTTGCTAAATCTCATATGGTTGTTAAAGCTAGAAATTGTATGGCACAAGATATGCATTGCATTTTAATTATTGAATTTTGAAAAAATGTTATTGCTACTTGTTCAGTATTTCTGATTTCACTCTGCCCTTCAGGGCATTCCAAATTGTTGGTCCCAAAACATTTGGTGAGCTGCCACTCAATTTGTATTTATCATAAGGATGGCCATGTCAATATAAGGGTCAAAATTTCATATTTTTTGAATAAATCCTTACAACTCTACCATACACACCTGCCATGCATACATAAATATTACATACATAATTATTTAAAATCCCATCAATACTTCTGGAACACCCTGTCTAATTGAAGTAGTCTGGTATGTCACATAAAACAAAATGTCCATCATTTATGTTAATGGATGCAAGTTTGGCAGCCAATAAGCATTGCAACTTAGAGCATTTCAATAAGGCAACAACTATGTCTAGATCTAAAATTTCTTGTACAAGTACTTATTTGCTGTCGTTACCATGCATGCAGCATTTCATTATCAATATCATAACATATATTGCTTAGGTTTATGAAAAAATATGCAATAACTAATCTAAAGCCAAACAGAGCAAACTTGACTTATGCACTCACACAAACACATTTTTGTACATTTGCTTGTTTGTAGCAAGTACTCATACATCAGCTTACAAAATTGACATTAAATTTGGATGGTCTATTTTTAGGAATCTGGAATTTTTGATGATTGACGATACACCACAGAAGAATTTTGAACCAATATATAGTCTCCTTATTTAAATGACCAAAGTTTTACGTATAACTGCTTAAATTGTTTTAGAGCTAATGTTTCAAAATTGATTGGTGTAAACATAAATAGGCCTGAAATAACAATGATGGATTTTTAAGTCCAGTTTTCTCCCATTTATTCACAAGTTATGATAAATGTTTCAGTCAAATGTGAGTTCATTCAAAAATAGTACAACTGTAAAAGTTGAAAAAAAGGTTTCTATGCTTAAGGAATTTCCTATCATATTTAGTTATCTGCATTAAACAGATGTATAAATTCATATTTTTCAAACAACCAGTAGTTTTTCCTCGGATTTCTTGATTTTTACACAAAATTCAAAATGTTACCTGCAATTTTTGACAAGAGCAGTAGTGTATATCAAAGCAACAGAACATATCAGTGGGACGTTCTCTAATTTGAAATTGTCAGGCGATAAAACGTTTGCGTGTTTTTCAGGGAATCAAATCAACTAACTTTGGCTGGAGATTCATCAGAAACCAAAACACAACCATCTGATGAACGCCTGAAGAAATGTCTAAGTTTACCAAGCTTACAAACCTTGAAGACCTGCGAAGTATGTCACATATTCTATAGCACCTCAACTGTCAGGTGCATTCTGTGTGACAGAAAAATGAATCTCACTGAATCTCCATGCAAGATATGCTCTCTCACCCCTGTAGAAAACTACAGGAACTATGATATTTTGAATTGTGATAGACCACCCATTTGCAAATGCCAGCGAAATAAGTCATTATCTTTAATCAAGAGCCTGAGTTGCTCAGTCGCTCAAAGTAGCGAACCAAGTATAGAGGCCCATATTCCAAAAAATATTAGGACAACTGCCAGTGGTATCAGCGAAAGTAGTAACTACATGTGGGGTGTCAAGAATGTATTGCCTAAGGGGACTTGGACTTGCAAGCAGTGTACTCTGTTGAATAGTGCAGGCTTTGCTGTATGTGAAGCTTGTGAAAATCCGTATACGCCAGATTTCAATAGCAACGTTAAACCCAGTGTATTTATCAAGGTGAGAACATTGTATTTTATCAAATAATTAGCTCTGTGATGCATAAGAATCTGATTACCTTATAACAGGTAAGAGATGTTGTGTTGCAAAAGATTTGGGTCCTTAAGAGGGTTAATTGGCCCTGAAGATAACTCAAATTATAAATCGATCGCGTTTATGAAATTTAAATAATTCAGAGCATATGTATTTTAAAATTTACTCAACTTTCATTAATCCTCAATCATAAACTTTATTTTCTTTTACAGACCCATATTGAAGTTTTTCACAGCTTCATAGAGTTTTTAATTATGATTTCAAAAATGTGTATAGAGTATCTATATTATCTTTGAAATGTCACACAACTCCGACAATAAAAAAAACGTATAGAGGGGTAGAAAACGAGTATTTGCAAACATTTCCTAAACTACTAATTTGCGAAATAGATAACCCTATACAAAACTATCCTTATTTTTATTGCTCAAGATGATGAGATTATAAAAACAACCTCATAATTCACCATGTTTGTCTGACTGATAAAATTAAACCATACATGTTTAAATTACTATTTGCTTTCACTGGATGACCTTTTTTAAGTACAAATGACAATTCTGTCTGTCTTTGTTTTTTTTTCGGATTCGCCCATGACCCGCCCCTCCCCCTGGATCCGCGCTTGGATCACTCAAGGGCGGATTCAGGATTTCGTCTAGGGGGGGGGGGGCAAACGATAGTTGGGGCTGATCATTTTTAAACTTCTAGAATTTATCCTATTATTGCTCCTTAAATCCATTGTGTTCTATCTGCTCAAGGCAAGCTTGAAAAAAAAAACATGGAAAATGCTCAGAAAGCCAATATCTTATTATATGAGAACAAAATATAAGTACGTGACATTTATAATTAACTACTGTAATAATATTAAAGATTCAATATAAAAAACTCAATTGCTCTATTAACCGAAAATAAATAAATAAAATGTTAGATCATAATTATTTTGATAGTGTATGTTTGTACGAAACAAGAACAGGAATACAGGGCTGTACATATTCATGTATAGTGCAGCAGCTCTGTGATACGCGAGAAGAGATGCGGGACGTGTGGTATTGACTTTGAGCATCGATCGACGCAGTTTCTGGACAGGCCACAGGTGCACCACTAAAGAAATCTCATAAATCTCTATTTTCAATTTAGGCGTTCATCTAACATAGTGCTTCGCTGCAACACCAACCCCGAACAAAATCTGTCAAGCTTTACACACTTTTTAAATTACTATTGAGCAACAAACAGAACATGATTCACTTTTTAAGCGCAATCTGTATAGCTAATACATATATTACCCAGACGATTTGTCACAAGTCACAATACTCGTATATACGTATAAATCGTAAGAATTGTGCTGTAAACAAGTGATGTCAAAGTGGGACAGCATTTGGAATACTAAAGGATACAAAAAAATCGCAATGCTCAGTTCCTATAGATATAACTTATACTTAGTATCCTCTGTCGCCATGAGGTGTCAGAAAGTAACACAATGGTATATTACAAAAGCAAGTGTCATAGGCTTTTTTATGGATCTGCATTTGAGGTTGTTTACCCAAAATTTGGTATTTCTAAAAAACAGTTCGAGTTAAATGGTATACATTAAATGTGTTTAGAATCATGCGGAGATTTGAAAAATTGACTAATATACAGGATATTCTATTTGAAATAAGCAAATTGGAATCTACTTCCAATACAGTCAGAAGTGCTACTATTTTGAAAATATTTTAGCTGAATTCCTCACATCATTTATACCATAACCCCAAGTTTTTAAAATTTTATTACGTCAACTTTTCGAGTAATCTATCGCTGCAGTTCTACGTGATACACTGTATAGTTGGCCTTGAGAAGTGACAGATATCGGGGAGTATGACAAATGCTTGGTTTCTGTGAGTCAATGGAATGTTGTAAATGTTGCGCTGTCAAGCGACTCATGGATTCAAGGTGCCTATCCATACAACAGTCGCCAGATGCACCCTTGCAACTCACGATTTCAAAGGTGTGATACCGAAGTGCCCAAGCTACCATACAAAGCTGGATCTTGGGCCATAGTCGGCCTTAATTCATCGAATAAAGAACAAGACAATGCTAATTTTTTCATATTATTTAAGGATAGTAGTAACAACATTTAAAAAGGCATTATTTTAAGAAGCCTTTCGTAGTAAGTAACAGCTTCGACAATGTTGCAGGTTGCTAAACACATTGCATATCCATGATAATGCTTACTATAGTTGATAGATGGGCAAATTATCTGAAAGTCCCTTTGAACGCGCTTCTCAAGAGCTGAAGAAATATTTAATGGGCGATTCAATCGAATAAACAAGGGATATCATTTTCAAGGCTTTATGAAAATATCAGTTTTTTCAAATAATTTTGCTTTGACGATGTCAATTTACATTTTGGAAATCAGATTTAAAAACTACTTACCAGTACGAAAATCCAGTATGGCGCCCTTTAGAAAAAATAAAGTTGATGATTGAGGTCAAGAGATACAACGACAGTCTGAATTATGCTACCTTCTAGATGAGAAGAAGCCGCAATGTTACTGTGCATTTTATTTTAAAATTCCACCTCAAATAAAGTTAGGACAGAATACAAAAAATGTTAGGAAAATTCGTCTATATCCGGAAATACTCTGAATTATGAAACTTTCTAAGTTCATTTAACTACCTTCGTAACTCCTAAGCTTCCCGAGAAATCACTGGCGTTCCATCGTCGACCCGACCACAGCCATTAGTAAGCATTTTGGTAACTAAGACGCTCTAGAGCTACAATTCTGTCATTTGCGATGGCTCCTCGGGAAAGGTCAATTTTGCGCCTCTGACTGCCAATAGTAACACGAACGTGTTTGGTTAGTTGTAAAAAACCTTTACCGTCGTTAAATATAACTACTTAGATAGCTCCGAAATGCATTTTCATTTACTCATGTAATGATGTAATAAAACACATATAGATTGTTGAAAGAAAGTCTGTAAACAAACCTCTAGACTTAATAATAAACTGTTTACTAGTGTCAGTGTTAAAAGTTTTATAGATCGCGAACAGAAGAATCCGTTTACTTTCCCAACCGTTTCCATATAAAATACCTTCCAGCATATCTATTATGAAAATTATATGTTGAAGTCCTTTAAAAATAGTAACAGCGCGGAGTCATTAACCTCCAAACTAACAATATTGGCAGGTTTTCTTGTATTTTTTTTTTATTTCAATGTTTCTATTTTAGTATGTTCAGGTTTGGCAAATGTTGTGTCTCAGTTGAGTTATTGAGTGATTGTGTTACATGGTTGAATTATATTATATATAACCAAATATTAAAATCTTTGTGTCGGAATATATTGAAACTTTTTTAAAATATTTTCGGAATGTTATTTTACTTAAAAAGAATGATAATTTTGTACCACTACCATGCTTTGTTTTGTGCTCATATGTGCGAAAGTATAATCAGATGTATAATGTGAGATCCTAGGGCTGCCAGACGTTACTTATTTCCTGAAGCACAAAGCGTGGTGCATTGCATAGCATATAAACTGTGCATTTCAGAAGGATGTCCACACTCCTTATTTTTTGCGGGCTAAATTAACAAGCTGAAATTTGGGATAATGAAATTGACACATGAATATTATATACTAAGTGACATATAAATCCGAACACCCAGTTTAAATGGTTTTATTTTAATAAAAGTTAGTGAATGTATTTATCTTACTGTAAATAACAAGTGAAAAAATTGTCAGCCTTATCATTTGGACATTCCGGTTTTTATACTGCTTTTTTTTTTAATTCACTAACGCTCTAAAAATGAATATTTCAGCCGCAGTAAAGAATCAACGTTGGCGGATTTTGGTTCTTGACATCCTTTACGATCGGTTACGATGCCTAGAGTACGGAGACCTGTACGATTTCGTCAACTTAGTGAGTTTGATAGGGTCCGTATAGTGGGACTTCGGGAAGCTGGACTTTCTTTTCGGCAATTGCAGTTAGAGTGCAAAGAAGTGTAAACACTGTGGTTAGGTGTTGTCAGGCATGGCTTCGAGAAGGCCGTACGCAAAGAGCAAGGGGCACTGGACGCCGCCGTAGAACAACAGACCGTGAAGATCGCCGCCTAAGATTATTGGCCTTAATGGACCGTTTCTCCACTACCAGGTCCATTGCAAATGAATGGTTTGCAGAACACGGAAGACCTACTGGCATGCGAAGTGTTTACCGACGAATGAGAAGTTTTGGCTTGTTTTCATACCGGCCACACTGGGTCCTCCCTTTAACTCCAGAACACCGACGTAATCGCCTTGAGTGGTGCAGACAACGGTCACTCTGGGATCAGGAATGAAACAGTATTGTCTTTAGTGACGAGTCTCGATTTTTTTTAGGCATGCACGATGGTCGTGCCAGGGTTAGAAGGCGACGTGGTGAAAGGAGGAATCCACAGTTTTTTGTTGACAGACATGTTCATCACACTGTTGGAGTTATGGTTTGGGGTGCTATAGCTTATGGTTCCAGGTCACCTTTAATCTTCATCAGAGGTAACATGAACGCGCAGCGTTATATCCACGAAGTTCTAGAACCCCATCTTGTACCCTATCTTGACACCCTGGCAGATCCAACTTTCCAACAAGATAATGCCCGACCACATGTTGCAAGAGTCACAATAGACTTCTTTCAACATAATGATGTCACATTGTTACCATGGCCACCAAGATCTCCCGACTTATCCCCAATTGAGCACGTGTGGGATATGATGGGTAGGAGATTGCTCAATTTGCAACGTCCTCCTCAGACTCTAGAAGCACTTCGAGAGGAGTTGGTGGTTGCCTGGAATGAGATACCACAGGAGGACATTGACCACCTGATCAGAAGCATGCCTAGGCGCGTTGGAGAATGCGTAGCACATCAGGGTGCATCCACACATTATTAAAGGTCAAAGGGCTTTAAAGCAGTGCAATCATTTTGAAATTTTTATCATTTACTTATTATGCTTCATTAAGTACTTATACAAAATTTTATTAAAATAAAACCATTTAAACTGGGTGTTCGGATTTTTATGTCACTTAGTATATTTCAACATAAAAGTAAGAGTTAAACGTTTAAAAATAGAAGGGGGGTCGAGGGATACCT